CAAGTCCGCCGATCTGCACGCGGCCGCCTCCGTGGGGCCAGCGGCCCCCGCGCAGCCGTTAGCCCTGATGGCGAAGCTGAAGTGGCGCTGCCACAAACTCCGAGCACCCCTCCCCCGAAAGCAATAAAGGTATCAACTAACTTTCCTTAAAAACACACACACACTCACAAAAAACTGGCCAATTCAAGACAGACGGGGTGGGGTGGGGGGCGAGCTTTTCCAGGTGTCGAAAGGATACTACAATCTGAAGAAACAGCAGGAACAACGTTACAAAGGCCGGAGGACCCAGGTGCACTTGGCTAATGGCCCGAGGAGAGACCACAAACTGCACCGCCTACGGGGTCATGCAGAGCTCGTTAACGCCAGGTGAGTTGGGTTGGGGCACAACACAGGGTGGTGAGGCCAGGTTTCAAGAGAAGTCAGAGGTCTGGACTTTTACAGCAACTTTACCAATTGTTTAAATGGTGACCGTTACATGCAGGCACACATGCGTGCGTACCCTTTCTCACACACAAACACAGTAGCACTGGGTAAACCCGCACAGGGTAGCATGTCTTTGGACCCAGTTATGAGCTTTAAAGAAGAGCAGGCAGTGTTTAGGGGGCAAGAACGAGGTGCCAGGAAGCAGCAGGACAGGCCTTTGAAGAAGTCGGAGTGATACCCTGAAGAACATCTAACTAAGGAATCTGAGTTTTATCACGTGGGACTTGTCGCATCACTGGAGGATTCTAAGCCTCCGTGTGATATCAAATTTGTGTTAACAAATGATCAAATCTAGATCCAGCAAAATGGGGTTTGGATTTGAAAAAGGTAAGACTAGGGTAGAGAGACTGTTTACAGGGGTTACTAAAATAACACCGAATTATGCCCGGCTGGTGTGGTTCAGTGGTTGAGCATCGGCCATGATGTCACTGGTTCCATTCCTGGTCAGGGCACATGCCCTGGTTGTGGGCTTGATCCCCAGTAGGGGGCATGCAGGAGGCAGCAGATGGATGGATGTATATCATTGATGTTTCTCTCTATCCCTCTCCCTTCCCCTCTCAAAATCAATGAAAACATTAATAATAATACCGAATTACTAAAATTTGGAAAGAACCAAATGAGGATTTGAAAGATGAGAGAAAGATTTGAGAGCCAGCGAGAGTAACATTGAAAGGGCATAGGGAACAACGAGTTGCTGTGGGTGATGGGTGTCAGGGATGAGCTGGAGGTTTCGGTTTAAGTGACAGGTGTATGGAGGTGACCTAAGCCAGGAGAGGACAGGAGAAGGAGAGGATCTGTGTGAGAAGAAAATGTTTCCATCTTGAGTTGAGGGAGCTCTGGGACATGCGTGTGGAGATGTCGAGTCATGAGAATAACCAGGAACATTGACCCTGTGGTCAGGCAGAACAAGGTGAAAACCCACGCTCTGCTGGTTAGCAGGGTGACCTAGGGTAGGGCATGTAATTGATTTTGTCTAAGGCTCACTTTCCTTACCCATCAGATTGCCATAATCAGAGCATTTACCTCACGGGATCAGGGCATGGATTAATTGAGTTGACAATTAACACCATGCCTGGCACAGGCAAGCTCTCAATAAGAGATTGTTATTAATATTTTGATTTTGAGTCACAGAGTTAGAGAATTAAAGCTTCTTAAATACAGTGGGGCCTTGACTTACGAGTTTAATTCGTTCTGAGACTGAGCTCGTTAAGGAGCTCATTAAGGAGCTTGTTAACTCAAATTACTCTATCAACTCAATGCAAAAAATCAGCAGAGAGACAGCTGGTATCTCAAAAAACTCCTTAGTCGGGACACTTGTAAGTCAAGGCCCCACTGTAGTTCTGTTTGACCAAGGACAGGATTGATGCCAGCACCGTGGCAGGGTGAGTCTTCAGGTGGAAGGGTCAAGTGAAGTCACTTGTAGGGAGTGTAGGCTTCAAGGAGAAACTTATTTATAGTGTTTTATTTTAAGATACTTTATAGCGAGGCTCTTCAGTCCATGTCTCAAAGGTTTCCTCATCCTGGTGAGGGTCAAGTGAGGTCTCAGTTACTTGGTAGGGATAACTGAAGAGGTGAACACAGACTTAGCTGGAACCTCCTAGAACATAGAACATACGGTTTACAATCACTGAGGATCACATTAGGTTCATAAATCGCATTTGGATCAACTGTGGAGCTTTAAAAACTACAGATGGTGAAGTACTGACTCTGGAAACAGGTCTTGGGTGAGGTCCTGGCATCACTTGTATCTAACATACCCTCAGGATCGAGACACATGGTTCTAGCTTCTAGAGTGCTGTGGGTCCAGCAGACACTCAGCATGCCGGTTTTAAGGGTGTAGTGACCAGTAAGTAGCCCAGGTATGGGTTCAAGGAGATTGGTTTTGCATTATGGATCTCCTCTCAGAACCTGTGTACCCTTGGAGAAGTTAGTTAAGTTCTCTGAGACTCTATTGCCTTGTCTGAAATGGCAATGATTTTACTTTCCCCTGTGCTGTTATTGTGTTCATATGAGATGATGCCTGGGAAGCATCATTTGGCACATTAGCACACTCACTCCTCCTTCAAGTGCTTTCTTCACTTGACTCCTGGAACAAAGTGCCCTCTTGGTTTTCCTCCTATGTCACTGGCCGCTTCCTCTCAGCCTCCTCGGCTGGTACCTGCTTCCCTCCTCAGCTCCTAGCATGGTGTGTGCAAGGTTCGGCCTGGGTCCTCGTCACTGCTCACTTTACACTCACTTCCTTGGTGATCTCGAGGCTTTAAATGCCATCCCAATGATGACACTTCCCAAACCTGTACCTCCAGCCTGACCTAGCCCTTGTCTAGCCAACAGCCTAGAAGGCAACCATACTGGATATCTGTCTAATGGCTAGCTCAATCTTAATGGCACAAAACTCAACTCACAGTCTTTCCAACTTGAGCTTTTCACCGTATTGTATTCCTCTTTTCAGCTCAAAGTCAGCTTTGTTCTACCAGTTGCTCAGGCAAAAAGAAAAATTGAAGTAATCTTTGACGCCTTTTCTTCTCTCACATCCTACACTCAGGTATGTAACATATGCCTTGAAATGAGTCCAGACTCTGACCACTTATCACCATCTTTAAAAAAAATTTTTTTTTATTTTGTAGAGGGAGAGAGAGACAGAAACATTAATGATGAGAGAGAATCATTGATGGGCTACCTCCTGAATGCCCCCATCCCCCACCACTGGGGATCCAGCCCACAACTCGGGCATGTGCCCTGATTGGGAATCAAACCGTGACCTTCTGGTTCATAGGTCCATGCTCATCCATTGAGCCACACTGGCTGGGCCACTTCTAACCATCTTTACAGCCATGAACCTCCCCACCTCTGCTACCTGGACCATTTGCAGCTCATTCCACCATCAGTTCTTGTGTGAATTATTGCGCAGTTTCCTTCATTGATCTCCCTGCTTCCACCTTGTCCAGTCTATTCTCAACATTAGCCAGATCCTTTAAAAAACAGAAGTCAGATACTATCACTTTGTTTAAAATTTTTCTGTGGTTTTTGTCTCAGAATAAAAGCCAAAATCCTCACAGTGGTCTGCAAAGTTTTACAACTCTCTCTCCTTGTGAGCTCCCTGACCGCTTCTCCATGACTCCTCTACTCCATTACCACCTGCCTCAGTCACCCTGATCTCCAAGCTTGATGCTATTGTCCCTGCATATTCAGGAGACACAATAAAGTCTTTGAACAAAAGAGGCTCTCCTCTTAAGAGCAATGCTGCCTTCTCTGTAGGACAGAGCGGGTAGTGCTTTTATTTCATCCTTCTGCAGTAGAGACTGAGGAATGAGGCTCAGTGAGGTTTGAGGCTAGAGAGCTACATAGATAAGATCAGAGTTTAGCAGTGGTTCTCAACCTTCTGGCCCTTTAAATACAGTTCCTCATGTTGTGACCCAACCATAAAATTATTTTCATTGCTACTTCATAACTGTAATGTTGCTACTGTTATGAATCGTAATGTAAATATCTGATATGCAGGATGGTCTTAGGCGACCCCTGTGAAAGGGTTGTTCGACTGCCAAAGGGGTCGCGACCCACAGGTTGAGAACCGCTGGTTTAGAGGAACTTAAAGCCCTGATGAGAAATGCAGGTTTTATCCAAATATTGTGAAGTTTTAACCTGTAGAATGGCTTGATCAAATTTGCACTTTATTTTATTTTATTTATTGATTGATTTTTGAGAGAGAGAGAGAGAGAGAGAGAGAGATCAGTTGTTGCATTTTTTCATTGATTGCTTTTTGGAGATAGAACCCACAACCTTGGCTTACACTGTATCCAACTGAGCTACCAGGCCAGGTCCATAATTGCATTTTAATAAATTCATATGTTGGTAGTTCAAAGGATGGTTTCAAGCATGGTATATGGGCAAGAGTAGAGGCTGAGATAATTTCTATCAAAGGCCCCCG